ATGAGAGAGACACACGTGGGTGGGTTGCCTCTCAAGCATGCCCTGGGCCGGGATCGAACCTGCAACCCAGGTCCATGTCCTTGACTGGCAATCAAACCCTGACCCTTTGGTCCTCCAGCGGATGCTCTAGCCACTGAGCAGACCATCCAGGGCCAAATGTTGCTTGTTTTTTAAAGTGGTGAGCGGGCACCAGCCATTTTTGGTTGTCCAGCTGTGGCCCTGCTTGACCAGAGGAAGTTCGGCTCACAGTTGGCGGGAGGTGTGGAAGGAGGTGGCCAGACTTCACTGGTACTTGTATGGGGAAGTTATTTTCTACTTTTGTTGGTTTAATTTAGACCCTCAGATCTGAGATCCTATATTTAACTTGGCTCTTTTTCCCCATAATCATTGCCATTGGTACCAGTAATTTTCCATATTGCTTCATGTATAACTGCAGGTTTTTGTTTATTTTAAAGTGAGGGATCCTGTTGCATATATGGGGTGGGCAAAAGTAGGTTTCTTGTGCCATTGTAACATTCTCTTGAATTAATAAAGCTACTGTAATAATAATAACCTGGGTGTCTTTTCCATATAAACAACTGTAAACCTACTTTTGCCCACCCCTGCATGTTTCATCATTTGGCTGTGACTTCATCTTTGGGTTGGTGTCTTTCAGACGGCATGGGTAGTTCAGGTAGTATCAGTGGAAAACAGGGTTTCTTGGGGGACACAAGTTGAGCTTTGGTTCCCGCAGGGGTTGGGAGCAGTGTGCTGGGCTGAGCACACCTGATACTCACGCTAACAAGCTCCCAGGTGAGCCTGTGTCACACTAAAAAACAAGCAGCTGTAACGGATTTTTCTGGAGGCCCTTTGGAAAGGGACCGTCTTCAGCATTTAGCAGCCAGGACCAGCCTGTTGTTTGCTGAGTAGACACAGACCTGCTTGAGCACCTTGTGGAGGTAACGAGGTACATGGTCCTCCTGGGGCCATGTGGGTTTTTCGTTCCTTAGTTGGCAATTTCACTAACAATCGATAATAACAATGTTATGTTGACACTATCCTCAGTCATGAAAATAAGGAAATTATGTTTTAGATATGACTTGTTTTATGTCAGAATATTGTTAGACACTGTCTACCATAGGTGGTCTCTACAGTTTACCATAGGTGATTTCCTTGCAGTTTTGGATGTTAGTACCAAATTACGTCATGTAGAAGATATAATTGCAAATGCAAGTTTTCATGCATTTCCCACCAGGGTTACAGAGTAAATGACGTGTGAGACGCGATTTCTTCTGCCATGGAAAAACGTGAAGTGTTCATTCACGCGGTGTCTAAGGAGCTGATTGGGGAGTTTTTGCAGTTCATTCAACTTGATGTAAGTTTTATGTTTGGCTTCATTGTGATTTTCTCTGTTAATGTAAACAGTTTTCTAAAATTATGTTCATAGATGAAATATAGTCATCTCAGTGAATCCTTAGGGATCAAGGTTTACTTAAAAAAATAAAGTGCAGTAATACAGACCTGCTGATGGACAGCTACTCACAGATTGTATTTCCTGCTTTTAAGAGGTGGTGAAGGAAGCGCAGTGAGGTAATGCATGTGCTCTATTTACTTAAATATTTGCTGCTCTGTTCTATGTGCATGGTGGCATAGTGAGGAAGACAAGACACTTCTTTGTCCTCAGGTCAGTATAGTGTTGTGGATCTAGGTGTGTACATGCAGCAGAGTACGTGGCAGAGATGGGGGAGGGGGCAGCCCCAGCCGTGGACTGCTTCCCATCCCCATGGAAAGACTATGAAGCTCAGCCCTGGAATATGGCACATAGAAGTTGGCCGGTCAGAGGCACCTTGTGTTTGAGCATGAAGGGTCGGTGGAGTGTATAAATGCAGCATGAGGGGAGGGGCACAGGGGGCAGAAGCTGGGTCCTGGCTTTCTTTACCACGTGAGAGAGTTGAGACTGTCCTGAGGCATGGGACCTTTGAGCTGAGAGTGACCTGTGTGCAGAACAACCAAAGGGAAAGAGCAAGTGGGGCAGAAGAGACTACAGAAAAATCAGAGCTGCCCTTTGGCTGCACGTGGAAAATAGGTTGAAGAGAGGTACACGGAGGCAGAGAGTGTGAGGAGGCTGTTCCCTTCAAATGGCTGGATTAGGACACAGAAACGGGAGGGG